GGGTGGCTCAGTCGTTAAGCGTCTGCCTTCAGCTCAGGTCATGATCCCAGGGTCCTGGGATTGAGCCCCACGTCGGGCTCCCTGCTCTGCGGGAAGCCTGCTTCTCCCTCTCCCACTCCCCCTGCTTGTGTTCCTGCTCTCACTATGTCTCTCTCTGTCAAATAAATAAATAAAATCTTTAAAAAAAAAAAAAAGTTTAAAAAATATTTTGTACAACTTGGATATTCATTTTTAATAGAATCAGAGGGGGAATTTCTCAATGTCTGTTTTACTAATATGCTGTTATTTTGAGTTCCATAAGTGCCTGGTTTGGATCTAATGATATGTTTATTAGGACTTTTGATTTTGCCATAGAATGATATTTGTTTCTGTATCTTAATTTTTTTTTTTTTTTTAGGACTTAGGTGTTGTCTGAGAGTGGTATTTAATTCTGATTTTCACTGCTATTTCAGTTATGTATAGCCAGTAGCTCCAGAAAAATAGCAATTCTTTAAAATAGGGGTTTATTTACTGCTCTAGGTTTTGAAGAAAGTGAGCAGATTCTGTGACCTTCCATGGAAGGATAGTTTTCCACTTTGGACATTTAATAAATCTCCATTTTAAAGCTTTATTCCATCTTCGTTGTATTTTATAATCATTTGTATGTAGCTGTGGATTTAGGAACCCTTTTTCCTACTCCTTCCCATTTCCATGATTTAAAACTAGATTTTTCCCTTCTAAAACTAGAAAAAAGTGATTAAGCTTAGTATAGATTCACAAACATCATCAGCAGTTCATGAAAATAAACAGTCATTGATATATGTGCTATTAATGAGGTGTAAGAGGTAAGAGTGGTTACTAGAGATTTAAGATAAAGGGATACCTTTCCATATAGTACAAACTTCTTCTTCTTTTTTTTTTTTTTAAGATTTTATTTACTTATTTGACAGAGAGAGAGATAGCGAGAGAAGGAACACAAGCAGGGGGAGTGGGAGAGGGAGAAGCAGGCTTCCCGCTGAGCAGGGAGCCTGACGCGGGGCTCAATCCCAAGACCCTGGGATCATGACCTGAGCCGGAGGCAGACACTTAACAACTGAGCCACCCAGCCGCCCCTAGTACAAACTTCTTTTTAAAAAATTATTGTAGCCCAGAATTCATAAGCTGCATTAGTATGCAAAGATTCCAGGCTTTGCTAAGGTAGCCAGAGCTACTTTTAATGACTTTGAGTTAATGACTTTGAGTTAAGCAGTACTTTGGGAATTGGGCTTCTTACCTATATATAAAAAAGTAATAAATCAGGGCCAAAGGAAAGCTTACCTGAAATGGTAGACACGATCAGGAATATATGTGGTCTAAAAGAATCTCTGAACTTTAATAAAAGAGATAATTCATTCCAATATTTCTGCAAAATGATAGCTTCAGTCAAAATCTTAAAACATAAGGGAACATGTGAAAAGGAAGAAAGGATATGAACTTTTTATAAGGATAGTGGCTCCACAAATTTTAACGTATATATCATTCTGGCATATATAGAAATCTGTGTTTACATCAGTAGCATAGCTTATTCATGTAAAGTCATTTTGGTTTGGAAATTATTAGCTGAAAAGCTAATAAATGGTCTTGCATATGCTTCTTATTTCTTCAAAAGAGAGGATAAGTATCCATCTTTTGCTAATAAGCTGTTTTAGTGTCTGATGATGGAATAATACCAACTTCACTAAATATTTATTACAAACATAAAACGTTTTTTGGTTTTAAGAAGTGTCTTTTAATTGGTGGAAAATGGCCTATTTTTAAGTCTTGATGTATATATAGAGAATAAAGATTACAGTATATATGGTGCTTTGGATGACTTTATGTCAGTGAATGTTATGAAAGTTTTGATGTTTTGTTTAACATGGAAGATAGGTTTAGGAATTCTTGCTGCAGTTTGCTTAACTTTTATTGAGTAAATAAAATATTAAAATACCATCCATTATTTCGACTTGTTAATTTGGTAATATTTTGGCTGGTAGATTCTTCTATTTCATTGATGATGTTAGTGTATCACTATTTAAATTGTTGAAAGTTTATTTTAAAGTATCTTATTCTTTTTTTTTTTTTACTTGTTTAGTAAATCAAGTTAGTTGGTTTATCTCAAAAGAGGTTCACTAGAAAATTGATATGAATTGATATGTAATGATCATAAATGTCAGTAAGTAAATGTTGAGAAAGACTAGTAATAAACTCATTGATTCACTAAAGACAAAGCCAAATGCATTGTTCTCCCCACACCTCCTCTCCCAGGGTAGTCACCAGTTTTTGCCATTTGGTATAATTTTTTGCTAATCTCTTAAATGAGGATCCTCCCACTTAGTCATCTGTTAAGTGGTTATCTGACATTGTGAGAGAGGTGTAGTATGTTAAATCTGAGTAGAGAATGTCTGACATTTTCTTTGGTGCTTTATTTTTTTAATAAAATAAAGAATAAAGATTAAAGAATAAAGATTAAAAACTGATCTAGGAGTTGGAAGATATCTGAGTTCTCGTTCTTAGTTGTCACTGGGAAAACTGCTTAAATTTCTTAAGACTTAAGTTTTGGGGCGCCTGGGTGGCTCAGTCGGTTAAGTCAAGTCATGATCCTCGGGTCCTGGGATCGAGCCGCAGGTCGGGCTCCCTGCTCAGCGGGGAGTCTGCTTCTCCCTCTTCCCCTGCCCCTCCCCCGCCCCCATTTTGGCTCTCTCTCAGATAAATAAATAAAATCTTTAAAAAAAAGACTTGAGTTTCTTTATCTGAAATGAAGAGATTGATTAGATGAAGCATCAGGAGTTTCTTTTTTCTGTTTGTTTTGTTTTTGATTTTTTTTTTTTTTATTCATTTGAGACAGAAAGATAGAGAGCATGAGCAGGGGGAGGTGCAGAGGCAGAGGGAGAAGCAGGCTCTCTGCTGAGCAGGGAGCCGGATGTGGGTCTCGATCCCAGGACTCTGGGATCATGACCTGAGCCGAAGGCAGAGGCTTAACCATCTGAGCCACCCAGGTGCCCTGCATCAGACGTTTCAAATTGGTAGTCTAAGGGCCAAAGCAGATACAATTTATGTGGACAACTCAGTCCAGCATAACTGTTTACATTTTGTGTCTTTATGTGTGATGTTCTTTTTCCTATTGGTTACAGTCTCCACGACTTCCTGCTCCTTGACATCGTGTTCCTTACATGTTTACATAATCCCTTTGGCCCTTGTAGGCATTCAGCTTGCAACCCTTGGGCTAGATGTCACTCCTAATTTTCAAAAAATTCTTGATATTTTCTGTGCTATGACAGCAACTAACAACACTTAGTCACCATTCAAGCATGTTATTAAAGAAGCTGAACTGATTGAGCCACCCAGGCCTCCCTATACAGTACATATTTTAATATTAGCTCCATTAGAAAGCCAGTTGTTTACTCAGTGGCAACTATTAAAAATTTTTTAAATGCAGTTTTTATTATATGTAGAAACCCAACAATTTTTATAGAACGATTGTGTTTATGAGTTAGTGAGAATAATAAGATTCAGAGGTTCAGCATAACAAAGTTGGCTAAATAGGATTTTTGTATTAAAAACATTGGAGGAAAGGGATACCAAAGCATAAGTAAAATTAACAAAGAATCACATGATAGTTCTGGAATTACAGCTATCCCAAGGTTGAGTGTTGAATTTGAATATGCATTAATAATTCCAAGTTAAGAAAAATTCAATCTCTTGACAAAGCTCTGCTTTTGGAGAGATGGAGAATTCAGTTGTTAAAATCTCGCGACTTTTATATATTAAGCAGTATCTTGGAACATCTTTATTGAAGCAGCTCTAAAGCACTTGAAATATTTACCAAGTCATCTCTAGCCTGGAGACTTCCAACTGTGTACCTGTCAGATTCCAAACACGTCCCAAGCTCTGCTTACTATTTAACAAGCACTGTCGTGTCTCTGCTGGGTGGCCATCTGAGCTAGGTGCTGTGGACCTAAACACTTTCCTTACGTCAGCTCACTTTAGAGTCTTAACGGGGTTAGACAAAGAACTGTGGAAATGAGCAGTGCAGGAGGTAAGCCCTCAAGTTCAAATCACTGTGGGCTGAACTAAATGAGGGCCTTTTTTTTTTTTTAAAGATTTTATTTATTTATTTGAGACAGTGAGAATGAGAGAGAGAGAGAACACATGAGAGGGGGGAGGGTCAGAGGGAGAAGCAGGCTCCCTGCCGAGCAGGGAGCCCGATGCGGGACTCGATCCCGGGACTCCAGGATCATGACCTGAGCCGAAGGCAGTCGCCCAACCAACTGAGCCACCCAGGCGCCCCGAGCATGTGACTCTTGATCTCAGGGTCGTGAGTTCGAGGCCCATGTTGGGAATAGAGTTTACTTAAAATAAATAAATTAATTAATTAAAAAATACATATATATATAATTTTATTAAAACAAAGAAAGCAGTCCTCCTTCCTGTCTTTTCTTTCTTTTTTTTTCTTTTTTTCTTTTTTTTAAAGATTTTATTTATTTATTTGAGACAGAGAGAGCACATGAGAGGGGGGAGGGTCAGAGGGAGAAGCAGACTCCCTGCTGAGCAGGGAGCCCGATGCGGGACTCGATCCAGGGACTCCAGGATCATGGCCTGAGCCGAAGGCAGTTGCTTAACCAACTGAGCCACCCAGGCGCCCCAATGAGGGCCTTTTTATCTACCTTCCTTTTGGTAATTGCTATAAATAAAAATTTAGATTTTTATAATTGCATGTGAAATAGCATATTGATTTCGGTTTTTCAGAAAAGAAACTAAAATTAGTGTTCAGTACACTTCACTGCTCAGTTCTCTGAAGGGAAGATTCCTTATATTTTTATGGAAAGCCATTTTTATTACATTTTGTTTTAACATAAGTAAGGTTTCTATTTCTGTTTCAGAACAACAGTTAAAACAACCACGGAGAAGAAAAATCACCTAGGTAAATTACTTGTTTCAGTGAGAAACCAGTACTCGATACTTACTTTGCTTTTATCCTTTTTTTTTTTTTTTTTTGTTAGGGGTGAAAGCATGTCTACAGAGAAAAGCATGTGAACAGGAGGAAAAATACGAGATCCCTGAAGGTCCACGGCAAAGCAGGCTCAACAAGGAACAGCTGGTATTTGTCTTTGGATACTACTGTCATTGGGCTTATTATAACTTAATAGTATCACCATCAGGAAAACTTCTCTTGCCCTTTCGACAAGTACAGGTGACTGATTAAAATTTTAATTGTGCTTGTTTCAAGCACTTGATTCTGAGAGATGATCACAATGAGCAGTAAAACCCAGAAGGTGATAATTTCATGCTGTTAATGGACTGTTGGCATCTTGAACATTCCCATAAACCTTTCAGAATCTGAGGTAAGTCTCAGATCAGAGAGTAACTTGAAAGAAGACTTACGGCTGCTGCTTGGATTTAGTTCCCATATGTCTTTATTGCCACATATTGCAGTTTTAATGGGTAATATTCCATTATCCTGTGTGCGTGTGTGTATATATATATAGGAAATGACAAAGAAAAATTTTCATAGAAGGCAGTTGTGGAACTTTTTTTCCCATAAAGCACAAAGAAGTGTGTTTCGTGGCTAGCTGGATGCCTAGCCATGGCTTCATAATGTATTGTATGTGTTGTGTTGTATGTGTCTAGAACCCTGGAGGCCACATTCTCACCGGGGCTGTCCTCGAGAGCGGAGATTGGTCACATAGAGGGACCTGAGTAAGGATGGACAGAACTGGGTCAAGATCCACAGAAATGATGTTACTTGTATAATTTTATTAAGTGTAGCTGCGTATCCCTGAAGCACTGTTCAGATACCCTAGGAGTTCATGGGGTTTTAAGTCCCACCAAATGTGAATAACATTCTGATAAAGGAAGTTTGACGAGAAATTTCTGTTTGCTTTTTTAAAAATATGTGTGTGTGTATCAGAAACATCCACACACAGCACACCCTAACACCTAAAATCTGAGGAGAGGGAAGTTCCTGAGATGATGGCTGAGTTTTAGGAGAAAGATTGCAACTAGGAAGCCTATAAATATCGAAGTATTTTCCTTGACCCAAATAATGCACTTGAAATACGGTTTATCCCAGCACTTCATTTAAGCAGCCTCTTAACAGCTCATGACTACTTATTTTTATTTTCCTCATTCATATGCAGTGTTTTTAAATATTTTGATCTGCTTTTAACAAGCCTTTTCTTGTTATTTCAGTTGCCAAAGCTGTTTGATGGATGCTACTTCTATTTTGGGGGAACCTTCAAACACCATCCAAAGGACAACCTTATTAAGCTTGTCGCTGCAGCAGGGGGCCAGGTCCTTAGTAGAAAGCCCAAGCCAGACAGTGACGTGACTCAGACCATCAATACAGTTGCGTACCACGCGAGACCTGATTCCGATCAGCGCTTCTGCACACAGTATATCATCTACGAAGATTTGTCTAATCATCGCCCAGAGAGGGTTCGGCAGGGCAAAGTCTGGATGGCTCCTTCCAGCTGGTTTATTGATTGTGTGATGTCCTTTGAGTTGCTCCCTCTTGACAGCTGAATATTGCACCAGATGTATGTTTCAAATTGAACTCACACGGTGTGAGAACCCAGCCATTGCACTGTTTTGATCATTCACATTTTTATAATAGGTAGACTCGTTCATACATATGTTTTCCTTGAATTAAAAAACAAAACAAAACTTAGGCCAGACTTAGAATTCATTCTGTGTTTACCATTTAGAAGCTGAAATTGCTTTGAAGGATTTTTCTTTTTAAAACTGGTGTATGTTTTGATTCATCATGTCTTTTTATTCAAATTATCAGCTATCAAAGATTAATGAGAGAGTACCAGAACTATTGATTAAATATACAAGCAGTATCGTTACTCTCTCAGCCTTTTAATGTTCTTTGATGAAAGTAAACCACACTTGCCACCAGCAAAAATACTTCCCATCCTTAGTAAACAAAAAATATTGTCAAATAATTGATTCTGGCTTTATTGTAATAGAGTACCTGGTCTGAATGTACCACCATAGGTGTTAAATTCTTCTGTCTACAATTCTCTTCATCTTACGTTGTGTTTAGTTTTTTTATAATTTACGTGGATGTCAGTTCCTACGTTTTTATCTCTTCTTTTTATCTTACGTATTCATCAAGAAATCATGATTTAAACCATAGCATTTTTCTTCGGTGGTGAAAATCAACATTGGACTCATGGTACATATTTTTATTGTATATATTTGCTTATTGTTAGCTATCAGTTTGTGACTGTGTTTATCTACAGTATATGTACATATACATAGAGCATTTTCTCTAACAAATTTTAGTATCAGTATTCCTTAGAAGGTCTCACCAGATTAGTAAGTTGTCAATCAGATGTTAATTAAATTAGGGGCTAGTCCTTTTTCCTGTAGACCTCGCTACATATTGCTGAAATAATTGTTTTTGAAGGTCTTAATTTCTTCTTTTGTGAAGTTTTTTATTTTTCCATTTTTAGATTGCTGTGGAGGCAGAAGTTGGGGATTATCTGATTAGAACAAATTTTGTCCAGGTGGTACAAAAGGCCATCACAATAAGTCTAAAGGCAGGAGTGGGAAGGGCTGTCTCCCAATACAAGACCACAGAGAGGAGACAGGATGCCGCCTGAGCCTGGGGAGTCCTGGGGAGGTTACTCTGATTGGAGTGTTCTTGTTTGTTAATGAATTGACAAGGTAAATTAGATCATTTAAAAATATTTGTAAGAAGAATTCTTTAATAAGTCTTCCTAGAAACTGAGCATACTTCTATGAAAGACATGGGAAGGGAGACACTGCGGGACCTGCCAGGTTTGGTCTCTGACAGGCTGGAGATTTGTGAAGCACTGGATGGGAATACTGAGTCTGAAGTGAATGAACATTAGTAAGATTCATTTATTTGTAAGTTTGAGATTCTGCTGATTATTTCGAAATAAATCTTATTGGTAATTCCTTCTTTGACATGTGACGTTTCCATATCAAGAAACACGTTTTGTAAACACACTGATACACTGGGTACCCTGATCTTCAGGGATGAATTAGTTCTGCAACCCTCTCCAACCAGTCATGTCTTTGTCCCACATTTCATTCTAATGGAGAATGATGAACACCATAGCACCAAGCAAATCTGAGGGGTTAGATAATGTCTGGATTAAATAATTTAGGACTCTCTGGGATTTCGGTTGTCATTTTTGGTTTATAACTGACTTGTGGTCACTTTTTATTGCCTCATGGGTCACATTCCTAGGCAGGTTTGTGTCTGTTCTTCTGATTTGAATCCCTGTTTGTAAAACAACTTTGGGGGTTGCTGCTCACTCTCCTTCATTCATTTTCTTGGTTTATCCCCCCTCCCTCTTTGTTGTATTCTGTCCCCCACTGTTAAGCGGTTTTATTTTTGGTTCCTTTAAATATTTATTTTGACAGCAGTTGGTTGATGTTAAACTCTTGAACCTTGTAATTTCTGTGTAGATATACTTGTAACTGTTTTCATTTGTCAATCACAGATTCAAGCTTCCTTTTTATTGACTATAAATTATTAAAGTTATTTGTGTTTCTGTATTTCTGTATCTTCTCATAGTAGTAGTTTACTTATTGTGGGCTGTTGACAAGTGAGACTTAGTAAGACCTGAGAGGAAACCTTTGAGCTAACAAAAGCTTATCTTTTGGAACACTTAACACATTGTAGTTAATTTTGGATAGAAATATTTCTAAACTATAATAGATACTTTATTACCTTAAATAAATGTGTCTGAATACAGTGTGATTTTGATGGTTTGGAATCATCATTAAGAGGGTCAGTGATTACGCAGTGATTCCTTCACGGATCCATTAAAGCCAGAGGGTCGGCAGCTTGTCCACAGTATCACAGGGCTGCTTGTTACTTTTCTATTTCCTTTTTTTTTTTTTTTTAATTTTTCTTTAAGATTTTATTTGAATGAAGAGAGTGAGCTAGCCGGGGGAGGGGCAGAGGGAGAGGGAGAAGCAGAGTCCCACTTAGCAGGGAGCTTGATGTGGGGCTCAATCCCAGGACCCCGGGATCAGGACCTGAGCCGAAGGCAGACGCTTGACCAACTGAGCCACCCAGGTGCCCCTAATTAATTTATTTTCTTTTGACTTGCTAAGGAATGAAAACCAGGCAGGAACCATATTAGAATTATGGGTGAAATGAGGATAAATAAGCAGTGTGTAAGGATTTTGGTGATTTACCTAATAATTTAGGTAATTTACCTAAATTTTTGTGGAAAAGATTTACCATTTATTCCACCTATTTTGATATCTTTTGAGCCTGCTTTGTGAATTTGGTGATGAAGTGACCTCTGCATAGGTGAAGATTATCTTTTGGGAGGTTTGATGTTTCTGTGGGAATAAGAAGATGCAGGGAGGGGTAGTCACATGACACATTAGCTGTAATGACCTCCTTGGGTTGGGGCAGAAAAAGAGCCCGCTGTGATCTGAAGGTTCGTGGACCTCATGACAGCCACAGATGTGTATTCTATTCTCTAACGAGAACACAAAATGGTGGGAAATCGTGCTTATTTTATTTAATAACTATAAGTCATTATTTTGTTTGAACTACAAATTGTGAACTTAATGTATGATCACCTAATAAATGAAAACTAAGCAGTTCTAATTTTTCTCAGTCAGCTAATACATACTGTGGCTACTTAGTTACATACTATCTTATGAATTAAGGATTGTTGATTATGTAGCATTTTAAGGCACATAACAATACCTTTCCTTTATTAGAATAGCAATGTGGGAGAAGTTGAGGAAGGCACTAGACCTTTCTGACTCCGACCTGGCTTAAAAGGTAGATGACTAACTCCCCAGACCTGAAGAGGATGACTAACTCCCGTGGGCCTGTGTAGGTCACCTCCATAAAGCCAGTAAGCCTACTGTCAGGCTTGGAGATTGAATTGATTGAATTAAAGATAGGGCAGGCTGGGGGAGGGGGGGTGGGGCATGACTCCTGTGCAGGCTTTGGATTCAGCTGGACCTGGGTTTGTTTATCCTCTCTACTAGTTTTGCTAACCTGTGTCTGCAGTTATAAAGTGAGAAAAATACTCTCCATCTCACATGGGCATAAAGATGGACAAGAGCATTGAGCATTTACAGGATCACCTTCCAAAACCTTGGTGAACAATATGGATAAGAGACTTCTCTAAAAGCAGCTCATTAGAGGTGACTTTTGGTAGCACAACTCATTTTAGTCCTGAATAGTCCTGGCTCTTTCCCCCAACCCCGGCTCAACTGCTACCTGTCCTGTCTTCACTTTGCTGGGCTGTCTTTTTTTTTTTTTTTTTTTAATTCAATTAATTAACACATAATGTATTCTTGGTTTCAGAGGTACAGGTCTGTGATTCATCAGTCTTATATAATACCCAGTGCTCATTACATCACATGTCCTCCTAAATGTCCATCCTCCAGGGATCCCAGCCCCCTGCCCCCCTCCCCTTCAGCAACCCTCAGTTTGTTTCCTATGATTAAGAGTCTCTTATGGTTTGTTTCCCTCTCTGGTTTCATCTTTTATTTTTTCCTCTCTTCCCCTATGATCCTCTGTTTTGCTTCTTAAATTCCACATATCAGTGAGATCATTTGATAATTGTCTTTCTCTGATTGACTTATTTCACTTAGCATAATACCCTTTAGTTCCATCCACATCGATGCAAATGGAAATATTTCAATTTTTGATGGCTGCATAATATTCCATTGTATATATATACCACCTCTTCTTTATCCATTCATCTGTTGATGGACATCTTGGCTCTTTCCATAGTTTGGCTATTGTGGACATTGCTGCTATAAACATTAGGGTGCAGGTGCCCCTTTGGATCACTACATTTGTATCTTTGGGGTAAATACCCAGTAGTGTAATTGCTGATTCGTAGGGTAGCTCGATTTTCAACTTTCTGAGGAAACTCCATACTGTTTTCCAGAGTGGCTGCACCAGCTTGCATTCCCACCAACAGTGTAGGAGAGTTCCCCTTTCTCCGCATCCTTGCCAACATCTTTCGTTTCCTGACTTGTTCATTTTAGCCATTCTGACTGGTGTGAAGTGGTATCTCGAGGTTTTGATTTGTATTTCCCTGATGCCAAGTGATGTTGAGCACTTTTTCATGTGTCTCTTGGCCATTTGGATGTCTTCTTTGCAGAAATGTCTGTTCATGTCTTCTGCCTGTTTCTTGATTGGATTATTCTTTGGGTGTTGAGTTTGATAAGTTCTTTATAGATTTTGGATACTAGCCCTTTATCTGATATGTCATTTGCAAATATCTTCCCCCATTCTGTTGGTTGTCGTTTGGTTTTGTTAATTGTTTCCTTTGCTGTTCAAAAGCTTTTTATCTTGAATGAGATTTACAGCTTGAAGAACAAATATTGTTAAAATGTCTGTGCTACCTAGAGCAATCTACACATTTAATCCAATCCCTATCAAAATACCATCAACTTTTTTCACAGAACTGGAACAAATAATCCTAAAATTTGTATAGAACCAGAAAAGACCCCGAATAGCTAGAGGAATGTTGAAAAAGAAAAGCAAAGCTGGTGGCATCACAATTCTGGACTTCAAGCTCTATTACAAAGCTTTAATCATGAAGACAGTATGGTACTGGCACAAAAACAGACACATAGATTAATGGAACAGAATAGAGAGCCCAGAAATGGACCCTCAACTCTATGGTCAACTAATCTTCGACAAAGCAGGAAAGAATGTCCAATGGAAAAAAAAGAGTCTCTTCAATAAATGGTGTTGGGAAAATTGGACAGCCACATGTAGAAGAATGAAACTGTTGAGAGATTTTTTGATTACTGCCTCAATTTCCTTACTGGTTATGGGTCTGTTCAGGTTTTCTATATTTCCTGCTTCAGTTTTGGTAGTTTATATGTCTCTAGGAAAGCATCCATTTCCTCCAGATTGCCTAATTTGTTGGCATATAGTTACTCATAATATGTTCTTATAATTGTGTTTCTTTGGTGTTGGTTGTGATCTCTCCTCTTTCATTCATGATTTTATTTATTTGGGTCCTTTCTCTTTGATAAGTTTGTCAAGGGGTTTATCAATCCTATTAATTCTTTCAAAGGACCAGCTCCTAGTTTTGTTGATCTGTTCTATTGTTCTTTTGGTTTCCATTTCATTGATTTCTGCTCTGATCTTTATTATTTCTCTTCTCCTGCTGGGTTTAGTCTTAACAACAACAGGACCCAGCCTGTCTGACTAATTTCTCACCTCTGACTTCTCTCCCCATCTCTTTAGTGAAGTGTCCCCATCTGTGTGGCCTCTCCTACCCATTCAGCTAACATTTTGTTTAGCCTTCATCCCATGCATACATTTATTTTGGATACCAGGACTGCTTAGGCCTCCACACTTGAGATACGCACTCCTTTATTCATTTACTTGGGCTTTGGACATACAGAGTTAATCTACAACCCAGAAAAACATTCTTGTCTTTTTTTTCTCTTCAAGTGCTTTTATAAGTAAGGGATTAAACCCCAAATTTACTTCCCATATTTTCCCATGTAATTAAATATTCTTTTTTTTTTTTTTAAAGATTTTATTTATTTATTTGACAGAGAGAGAGACAGCGAGAAAGGGAACACAAGCAGGGGAAGTGGGAGAGGGAGAAGCAGGCTTCCCGCCGAGCAGAGAGCCCAACGTGGGGCTTGATCCCAGGACCCTGGGATCATGACCCGAGCCAAAGGCAGACGCTTAACGACTGAGCCACCCAGGCGCCCCATAATTAAATATTCTTATACATAGTTTCCAATAGTTGTATGGTAGCCTCTCAACAAGATATAATTTAACTAAATCACTGGTATTTTGTATTTGGATTGTTCCAGTCATAGATAAATCTGTATCAATATTGTTATGATAAATTTTGATCCTGGAGGAAGGAGGAGCTTTTCTTTAAAATGTGAAACTAAGTCACCATCTATCATTACCATCTCTACAAAATGCAGTGCATGCCCTACACATACATACATTTATTTATTTATTTATTTATTTATTTATTTATTTATTAAAGTTTTTTTTTTAAATTTTATTTATTTATTCATGAGAGACAGAGAGAGAGAGAGAGGCAGAGGGAGAAGCAGGCTCCCAAGGAGCAGGGAGCCCGATGCGGGACTCCATCCCAGGACCCTGAGATCATGACCTGAGCCGAAGGCAGACGCTTAACCATCTGAGCCACCCAGGTGCCCTATTAAAGATTTTGATTTATTTATTTGACAGACAGTGAGAGAGGGAACACAAGCAGGGGCAGCGGGAAAGGGAGAAGCAGGCTTCCTGCTGAGCAAGGAGCCTGATGTGGGGCTCGATCCCAGGACCCTGGGATCATGACCTGAGCCGAAGGCAGACGCTTAACTGACTGAGCCACCCAGGCGCCCCTGCCCTACACATTTAAATTAAGACCTCTAGTTATGCTTAAAATATAAAAATTAGAAAATGAGCCTTAATTGATTGCTATGATTTCATGAATTGATGAGACTTTGCATCGAAGGTTCAAACGCTCCTGCTCTTAAGGGTTAGAAACTAATTGGGGAAAAAAAAAAAAAAGGAACCTTAGGTCTTTTGGTAGAGACCTCAGAGATCACCTTGCCTGTGTTAAGATGAGGAAACAGGCCCAGAGAACTCTAGATCACACAGTTCATTGTTGGCAGGGCCCAGATAAAGCATGTATGTTCCTCTCTTCCTGCCATACTACCTCCCAAGCTACCTTACTTCTTTAAGTAAATTAAAGTGTTTGCTATTACAGGAGCCTGTGATTTTTTATTTGAATGTACTTATTGGGCTGGCCTATGACATCTAGAAAGAGCAGACATTCCTAATTAGTGCATCTGTTTCTGAGACCAAAAAGTATCTTAAAATCTTTTTTAACTTTTGTTTCAGGC